TGGATTTTTTAGAGTCCAAGAAGAAAAATAAATTCTACATTTGGCTTTTGACAGGCTGCTTCTCATTTACAACTTGTGTTTTTGTGATAAACGTAGGACTCATAGATGTAAGGCTAACTTTTCCTTTTGTAATGTTTGCCAGACATGGTAATTATTGGGAGACTATTCTCCATGGGTCTCTCACATGTTATGCATGTCTTGCAAGCAAGGCTGCTGACTGACTGCCTTTTTTCTGAACTTTTTCAAGGATGTTTGTATAGCAAGCAGCCTTAAAAGATAGAGATATTATTTCTCTTGAGAGCAAAGAGCAGATTTGCTTACTGTCCAGTATAATGAAAATAGTTTATCCCTCTAGAGTCTGTTTACTTAAGTTCGGTATAGTAAAGATAATGTCACCCTCCAGAGCAGAGGATTGGAATGCTTATGCTCATTATAAAAGATTTGAATTCCTTTTAAGCTCAGGCTTTCTTTCCTCTAACACAGCCTATTGCATGAACAGTTGTCACTGGCCCTCTTGTGTCACCCCCATGGGAATTGGGACGCAGGGAACTGGCTCAAATACTAACACTGACTACTGCTGTTGCCATGAGTAATGAAGTTCTTTGTCTCTGAACTAGGAGTCTCATGGCTTCTGCCAGCATTTACAGTGGCAGAATAACTTGTTAGCTTGAAAGTAGGGTAAAATCTCAGACCCTTCAGTTCTTGATAGTAATTTAAAAGCTGCTCTTTTCAGACCTGCAAAATGAGCACTTCAATAAGTATCTCTTGTTAAATCTGGATGAGACTAGAATTCAGGTTCCTTATGACTATATACTATGTTCATTTTCTCCCTATTCTTTTTCATGAAAATAAATTTACTTAAGTTAAAGGACTGTCATGAGATTGTCCTTCTCTGAAATAATGGTGTTAACAGTGTTCTGTCTCTTTTCCCAAAATAAAAGCATAGCTGTTTTATGGAGATGAGCTACGCTGACAAGCATGTCGATTTGTTTATTAAAGCTGAAATTTGGAATATATATAGTCTTTTTTTTTTTTTTTTACTGGTCAAGTGAAGCAGTATATATATTGTCTTTAAAGAAGAAATGGATGATTTGGGAGGACATTTTTTAAGAATTTGGATATAACATGAATTTTTAATGATAAACTAATAAACTAGATAAATAATAAAACAATATGTTGGATAGTGACAATGTTAGTGAAATGTTAGTGACAATGATAGTGAAAAAGAAAAGGAAAGAGAATGGGATTGTTGAGGTAGACAGGACAATGTTGAAATTTTAGATAATGTTGGCTAGGGAAGGCCTTATTGAGGTGACTTTTGAGTAAAGACCTGAGAGTAAGCTAGGAGATTAGCCAGTTGACTGTCTGGAGGGCAAACATTCTGGGCAGAGGGAACAGCAGTGCCAAGGCTCTGTGCCAAAGGGTGCCTGATGGGAAACATTGAGAAGGCTGGCTTGTGATGCTTTGAAAACATCTAATGAGAGGGTTAGAGTACTGACTTTTTCTACCAGAGCGCTTGCTTTTATGTTTCTATATTAGGCACTTTTTTACTTGAGGAGTGATTTACCTTCATTTAAAAAACATTTGAAAGCTACTGAACTAGGTAACTTCTAAAGTATTCTCAGTTCTCATTGATAGTCTCTGTAAGTGCCCATCTTTCAACAGACAACTTAAATTCCACATCAGTGTGTTTTTCTAATTCAGCAGGTATTTGAGAGCAGTATTAGACTCTAATTTATGTGGTGTATGTTTTAACTTCCACATGGATTATATTCTTTATGTTTGTTGATGAGGCTGAGACAGTTTGGAACAGTTAGAGAATAATCTAAGATAATATACCATCTAAAGCCTCTCTAGCCAACTACTTACCCTTTGTTATTACCAAATATAAAAGCTGGTTTTTAATTCTTGTTGCCCTTGAAATATTAACACTGTACCATTTCCTTGAAACATTGTCCTGTCTTGCTGGTTTTACCATTTCTGTTTCTTAAGGAATCCGCTTTCTTTGGGTTTATACCTTGAGTGCCTATTCTTCTTACTCTTCTTAATCTCTTTGGATACTCTGGTCTACTTTATGGCTTCAGTTGCCACCTATATGTTGTTGATTCTCATATCAAAATTTCTAGTCTAAACCTCTCTCTTGAGCTCTAAGCTATAATAAGTTGGTTTTTAGTATATCCATTTTGATCTTTAAAGCAATTTAATATCTTCTACCTACAAAGAAAAATGAACTTGTTCTTTCTTTATTTTGGTAAATGGTATTCTTGTCCAGTTGGTTATGCTAGAATCTTTATGTTGATGTCCATTAGTCAAAGACCATCAGGTACACACCTGCTGTAAACAAAGGTAGGTTTATCGATAATTTCTGCAGCAAGGGAAGCTACATACCATGGGGAACCATGGAATATCAGTGAGACAGTGCTGGACAAACCTAGAGAATTTGGGCTTTTGTTGGGTAATTTTGGAGAGGAATCAGGGAGGTGGTGAATGTTTGCTCTGGTTTGGGTGCTATGAAGAAGTGGGGATAATTCTTGACTGGCTGTCTTAATAAATCTTATCTAAGAGGTGAGAAGAACAGGGCCAGGCTAAAACTGATTGATAAAGAAGCAGTAGTCACTTGTGCTGGCTGGGCTTTTTTGTGGTTTGTGTAGAGTCCTTGCTTTTGTCTGTTGTCAGATGTGATTCCACAGTGGCTCTGTTTTGTCTCATTTCCATCGTGGTCACAGAAGACCTTATCTGATATTGGTGATCTGTGAGAATCTGTTTCACAGAAAATGCCACAGCCTAGCTATGAGTGCTGGGCCACCTCCTAGCTGTGGGGGGCTGCTTCTCTCTCTCTCTCTCTCTCTCTCTCTCTCTCTCTCTCTCATTAAGCATTTGGATACCAGGAAAATGTATTTTAGACAGGTATTTGAACAAGGAATTTACATGCTATTGGCTATTTCTGAGGGGGCAGTAAAGAAACTTATTCTACTGGGAATGTATCAGTTGGATCTAGTGTTACATTGAAACAGAGATGCCTAGGTTGTTTATTCTTTACCCAGTGAGGAAAGCCTGGTGGTGGGGTCAGGTATTGATCACATATGGGGCCTTTTAAAGCTATAATGTTTGAGTACTTAATATGTGCCAGGCACTAAGTACTTAGTATTTACTTAATGATCTCTTTTAATCCCTCAAGTAAATTGGGTCAGAAAGGAAGGATGCTTATCCCTGCCATTGGGACTAAGAACCGAACTGGAAATCCAAGTATGAATCTTGGTGTAGACTGTTAAGTAATGTTTAAGCGGGTGAGTTTTAGCATAATAGTTTGGATTGATTTGAATCCTATCCCCTTCCCTCTGCTAATAGTTGTCTGACCTTGAGCAAGTTATTTAACCCTTTAGAACCTTTGTATTTTACAGATTCAAATAGTTAATAGCTTCAGAGGGTGGTGATACCTGGCACTTAGTAAGCACTCAATATAAAATAGATGCTGTTACTTTCTTTCATTAGCTATGTGACTTTGGACAAATCACAAAACTGTTTAGAGCCTCAGTTCTGACAACACTTTACAGGATTGTATAAGTATCAAAAAGTGTATGTGAAAGCATTTTAGAAAGTGAAAGCATTATACAAATAAAGTAAATATTTAATGTTTAGTACATAGTCTCAAATGTTTGTGTTACCTTGACAGGTAAAGGACTTTGGTTGGGTTATGATATTTTGGAGCCAAATTATTTAGGATCTTAAATGTTAGGATGAAAAATTTAGATTTTATGCTATGGGCTTTAGAAATTCAGCTACCACATGGACTTTAGAGTTAGAGGATGAGATGACAAAAGTGGTGGCATAGGAAACTTGGAGAGGGAGAACCTAGAGGTTCAAAGACCAGATTTAGGAAGCCCTATCAGTTTAAATAATGGTGTCCTAGATTAGTGAAATGACAGTAGACATAAAAAATCTGAGACATTTCTAAGGAATTACTACAATTTAGTTACAAGTTGGATGTGAGGAAGATACTATAGAAATAAGAAAAATAAAGGCTTCTTGAACTTTAATTTTGGAAACAGATTCATTACATTTTTTTAGATATAAATGGGAGTAAGTGAAGAAATGGCCTTGTGACAAACAGGAGGATCAGAAACTTTTGGTTTTAGGTATTTATTTGGCTTTCCCTGTTATGTAGGCCCAAATGTATAATGTGTGAAAGAAAGCCATTGAGAAAGGGTATAAATTGTAGTGGTAATCAGTAAAGAATTTGCCTTTAAGTTAAATAAATATATGCTAGAAATGCGATTAAAAACTGCTTGCTGAAGTTAGAGTTGAAATTACTTTGAAATGTATCAAAAATGATAGATGAGGCCAGGCGCGGTGGCTCAGGCCTGTAATCCTAGCACTCTGGGAGGCTGAGATGGGTGGATCGTTTGAGCTCAGGGGTTCAAGACCAGCCTGAGCAAGAGTGAGACCCTGTCTCTACTAAAAATAGAAAGAAATTAGCTGGACAACTAAAAACATATATAGAAAAAATTAGCCAGGCGTGGTGGCGCATGCCTGTAGTCCCAGCTACTGGGGAGGCTGAGGCAGTAGGATTGCTTGAGCCCAGGAGTTTGAGGTTGCTGTGAGCTAGGCTGATGCCATGGGACACTAGCCCGGGCAACAGAGTAAGACTGTCTCAAAAAAAAAAAAAAAAAAAAAAGATAGATAGATAGAGGGATGGATGTGTGATGAATCAAATATAGCAAGATGTTAATGATAGAATCTGGATGGTAGGTACATGGGTGTTTACTACAAAATTTTTTCAACTGTTCTGTATGTTTAAAGGTTTTAATAATAAAATGTTGGGGGAGGGCTGGAGGTATAAACTGTTTGCTCTAAAGGCTTATCTTAAATATTTCACCTCCCTGACCTGAGACTTTTGGTTTCTCTGTAGGAACTTTCCGCTGTACTTTTTGCCATACAGAGGTAGAGGAGGATGAATCAGCAATGCCCAAAAAAGATGCACGCACACTTTTGGCAAGGTTTAATGAACAAATTGAGCCCATTTACGCATTGCTTCGGGAGACAGAGGATGTGAACTTGGCCTATGAAATACTTGAGCCAGAACCCACAGAAATCCCGGCCCTGAAACAAAGGTGAGTGTAGGCTCTGTGCTTTTACTTAGAGCACTTTTAAACCTATCCTTGTTTTAACTAACTGTACTTTGGAGAGCAAGAGTGGGTAAGTAATTTACAAGGAGGCTAAAGACTATAATGTTACAGAGGTTCTAAGCTCCGCCATACTTGTCTTATTAACTTGTGCCCGTGATGAAATTTGATTGTTCTGAATGCAGAACAGTGTGGGCCTTAGGCAATAATGTCTAAGTAGTCAGTTTTGACTTCAAGTACTCACTCTGCTTGGACCTTCAGCAACTCAACCAATTGTTGGCTAATCCTAAATTAGTTGTGCCTCTTGGGGATATTTGAATTTTCCTAGCCAACTTCTGAAGGCTGAAATTCTTTAGGGAATTCAGCATTTTCTTTTTTTATTTGTGAAGCATATTAAGCACAATTTCTTGCCTTTCTTAGTTTTAAATGCAAATTCCTTGAAAGTATAGTAGATGTTACCTATGGGTTCAGATATCTGACAGTGGCTCCCTATTTTATCTGTGTTCCCTAATGTTTAAATTGCAGGGGTAGCTTGAGTTTTGCCATGCTATAAAAAGTGGTTTATATATTCTTTTTTGAAAAGCATAAATGAGAATTGGGATCAGGGAATGCTCTTCTACCCTACCCAAAAACAATCCAGTTGTACAGAAAGTTTTGTGTCTGTCCAAGTTATTATGAATTTTCTCATCTAGCACCATGTGTCAGTTAGGCTGCCTTTGCCTGTTGGATAGAAAATCCAACTTTAGTTGGATCTAGAATCCTATCTATAAGTAGATGAAACAGTAAGAAAATTTGGTTTGCATGACCATAAGTCCTGAGGTAGTACAGTTCAGAATTGGTTAATTTCACAGCTCAATTATATGCTCAAGGACCTAGATTTGTTCCATCTTTATACTCTGCTGAACTCAGCCTGTTGGTTGTCCTCTTGGGATTATGAGAGGAGATAGCCTAAGGTGGATGAAAATGTCCAAATGCAAAAAGAGATCATCCCTTCCTTGTGTCCTATTTTGAGACTGGAGAAAGCTTTCCCAGAGGGCCTCCTTTATCCTATCTATCCCCCATAGTCTCACTGGCTAGAATTGCTGTATATGCTTATTTCTAAACCAGCATCTGGCAAAGGAATTGGGATCAAATGATTAGTACTTAGACTAATAAAGATTTATGTCCTTGGGCTGGGGAAGGTCCCAAAGTTGGAACAAATAGACATCAGTATTTGAATAAAGCCAATAAGCAAAGAAGGAGAAGAGCCACAGTTGCTAGGGAACTAGTATCATCCATATCACAGGCAGGCTTACATTTTTGTTAATGGTCATTTGGTCTCCTATGAAGAATTTATTTTTTTTATGTCTTTTTCTGTCCACTTAAATTATTCTGTGGCTCTAACACAAGCCTATGAGGAAAATTAATTTTATAAAAATACATAATTCTCTAAGCTTATGCGTTATTTCATGCTGAAGTATGATTCAGCATACTCTCTGGTTGCTTTCTACATAATATAATACTATCTGATTATTCTTGTATTTCCTTTTCTACCTATAGTTATTTGTCCTGTTTATCAAGATGCTTCCCTGCTACAGTAGCATTCGGTCACCACCACCACATGCATCCTGCCTCTAATGTTCCCCACCTACCACAGTCCAGCTTCCATTCCAGGATCTTTATTTATATATCTCTCACTCTGTGCCTGAGACAAGTCTTAGTGGTATAGTGACATCAGAGGCTCTACAAGCAGCTTGCTATATCAAGTCACCTTCTTCTCACGGAATGATGGTGACTCCAGGGATGAAGAAAAATCAGGAAGTAGAGTAAATAAACTGATCAGGAAAAAATATACCTAACAGCCCAACCACTAAGGAAGAAGGGAGTAAATGGGGGCAGGAAAGAAAGACAGAATGGGGTTCCTGGAGCTGCCAGCTAGAACAAAGTATAGTTGTTTCCATGTGGTCAGAGGAAAAATCATTGGAGCTAGGTTAGACAGTGTTACCCTGCCTAAGATGGTGTTATCAAGCATTTGACAAGCTCCACTGCCCAGATATAACATCCTGCAAGTGGTATTGATTTGGCCTTTCTGAACTATAGGAGCATAAAGTTCTATAATAGCCAATCCTGCCCCAAGGATTTAATAGTCCATCCTGCCTCAGTTCAGAACAGAAGCACTGGGAGAGTGGTATGGGAGTGCAGGGATGATAGTTTGATGTTTTTTGTTGTTGTTGTTGTTGTTGTTTTTTAACTAAGTGGTATCATGGTTAGTTTGGTTACTGGTCTATAATCAGTTAAATTCCAGCTTATGCCTAGACCAGGAACCAGACTACCTCTGCAGAACTGTCAGTAGGCCTAACCCAAGAGCTGATGGACAGTGCTAGCCTTTTAGCAAGTCAATCCAGTGGTGATATTTAAAGTCTTCATGTGTTAGGGTGGAAAGCTCACTAGGTGATTATGGCACGGGGAGAGAAAGATGTCTCACACAGAGATTAGGATATATAAAAGTAAAAAAATTTATTTTATCTTCTTAAAGGAGAGAGAGTGAGAGAGTGAAAGAGAGAGGAAGTGGGGGAGAGCAGGGAGACGGCATGGCATCCCAAAGAAAGAGAAGGCGGTGGCAGCACTGAGGCTACTTGGTGATTTTAAGGGGTATGAAGGAAAAAAAATAGTGATGGCTGTCAGTTGATAACAAAAGTGGCAGAATGTCAAAGTCCAAGAGTTGACTTCCCTGCCTTTCCTTGGAGACAGGATTATCAGGATTATAGTAGGCGATGTGACTCTACCCTCGAGATACGGTTGAGGCTGTAGCTTGTTCTCCTGCTGTTTACTCAGGAATTCTGTAAAAGCAGATTCTCAAGAAAATGATTTTGAAAGAGAGATTTACATCTCTTTTCTGTCTATTCAGCTCATTCCAGAAGTTGTAGAAAACAGAACTCCTGCAGGGTGCCTGTTAGTGAGAGAACTCGTAGGATTGCTCTTTGACTGTTACTGGGGAAATTGCGGGATTAGGTATTTTCCTGTTATTTTTGCAAGGCTGCCCCTTTCACCTGTTTTTCAGAAATGGAATTCCTTGCCCGCAACCTACCCTTTTCCATCATCTCTTAACACTCACCTTAAAGATCTTTAAAAATTTAGTTTTGAAATAATATTCCTTTCTCACCTCTGAGTAAGAGTTATACCTTTTTAAAAAAGTTCTAAAATTTCTTAAATAATGTAAAAAGACTCAAACATGAATTGCCATTTTTGTCATCTTCAATTAAAACCTGTACATTCTCTCTGTAGAAGAAATTAAAGTATCAGAAGGATGAATCTAGATACATCTCATGTAGATTTTCTTTATTGTCACATTGGCTAGTGATTTAGATTTGTCTGTATCGGTCTTGAAGGTAGAAACAAAAATCTGTGGAATCAACCCTCTGTGGTTAAAAATATAATGTTTTAAAAATTATTCCCCCCCCCAAAAAAATTGTTCCAAATTTTAAAATTTGTTTGATTTGTGATCAAATGTTTCCTGCCTTACACTAGAATAAAACCCATCTTGAATTTCTATAATGGAATACTAAAAACAAAAGACTTTAAAAAAGTAGTCTTTTGTTAACTTTTATTTTAATTTTCTTGTTCTTTCTCTCTAGTTTTCTTGTTTTTCTCTACTCAAAGTACTTCATACCTTCATGAGACAGTCTTCAGGGTTAATGCTAAAGATAAAGGATAGAGGAAAACTATGTGTTCAGATTATATATAGAGAGAAACAGAATAGCCTCAGAAAGAGTGAGTGAGTCACTTAAGAGTCTGGATGAAGGAAAGACAGATAAGGTTGTAGTTGGCCAGATCAGAGCTAGAGAAATTGCCTTTTCTGTGTCTCCCAAGTGTGGTTAGCTAACTCAGGGAGACACATTTTGGGACAGAGAGGTATGTAGAGCAGGCTCAGCACAGCACAATAAGGATGTTGGCTGAGGATAGAAGGGGCATGGAAAGGAGTAAGGGAGACAAATGAGTGAGGGAAGAGAGGCTCAGAATGTAGAGTATGCACAGAAGCATACAAAACCAGAAGAGGCCAAGAGATAAGAGAAAAAAGTGAATGCTGAGGGACACCAAGATTCAAAAAGCCAACCTACACAAAGTAAGCAGAGTCAGATTGCATTGAAGGCAGCCACACAACCTCTGAGAAAACAACACAGGAACAGGTAGAAGATAGAGAATGACTAGGGACAGATGCTGTTAAATTAGACAAAAAGGAAGTTGTGCAAAAAGTAACATCAGATGAATGCAGAAAGAAATAGAAGGTAGAAAGAAACCAATTATTTGTGACTATAGCATAAGACTTCAAAATATAGCAAGACAAATAGATGGATTGGGTATATTTAGAGAGAGATGCCTCATAGGCTTAGACTTAGAGTGGAGAGCAAATGAGACAAAAGAAGTGATTGACACATGGAACAGATAGAACAAGCATCGGAAGGAAGGGATATAGGAAAGTGCTTTACAAAGTAGTCCTGGGTACAGAGCTAGAATAATGAAAAGAATGCAGAGGCAGTAGCGGGAAGGCATGGATTAAATGACTGGATCAGTGTGGATTGGACAACTGGAAAGAGTGTATTTTTTTTATTGCAAAAGTAGCGGTGGCCCTGTAGGTATCCAGAGGCAGGGTGGGAGGGATGGGATGAGCCAGGGTTACCTGCAGAGGATGGTCAGAAACACAGCGTTGTTAGGGACAGATGTAATGGGCCAATCACATACACAGACAGAGGTTTACATCAGAGAAACCTCAGTTAAGCATGAGCTAGAAAGCCCCAGTAGATATGAAGTGAGCCCAGAAAAAAGTGAAGAGCAATGTAGTAAACCGAGATGAATGAAGTAAGGCTAAAGTAAGGGCAAAATAGTAAATGGCTTAGGGAGGAGAGAAGACAAAGTATTAGTTAGATTCGGAATGAGACAGGGCTTCGCATAGGAGATGGTCCAGGATCCATGGAAGAGATTGAGAGAAAAATGGAGAAGTAAAGGAGAAACATGAGGCTAAGAGAGTCAGTCAGGGGATGCTGCAGGGAACACAGCAAAAGGTATGGGGTGAGCAGGTAGTTCAAGAAATGTGAAGAGAGTTTATGAGATAAAACACAGATGTCTGAACAGAGAGGGAGGGAGAGTCATGCATAGAAGTTGAAGCAGAAAGCATCAGTAGCAGGCAGAGCAAGACAAGACGTGAGCTCAGACACAGAATCACGCATATTCAAAAGAATTTGGAGCAGATTGAGAGTGAAACAAGCAGGTACAATGGAACAGTGGAAAGATGAAAACTTGGCCTGACTCATAGAGATGCGGGAGGATAAGTGACTAAACAGGCTAACAGGAAAGAAGATCATGGGTAGTAGAAGTAAAAAGTAAAACAAAATAGTCTGAGAAACAGATCATAGTGCAAGGTAGGGATGTCAGTGTAGATGTGGAGACAGAAAGATACAACTCAATAGAAAAGAGGCTAGTCCATGCAGAAGGGTATGCCTTACTCGGTGAGTGGCGAGAGAACTTAATTCGCAAGCTTTTTCCATGGTCAGCACCCAAATGAAAGGAAAAGGCATACAGAACCACTTTGAATTATTCTGGGTTGAGCTGAGAGAATATTTTTATTAATAATACAACATTTGTTTTATTTTGTTTTGTTTTTGTTTTTTAAACAAAATACTCATGAAGAGTATTACTGGAAGATATTTTTGCCAGATCTAGTGTTTCTAAGTGGATTATGTCACCATATCATTCTCCCCCTGCAAGTAGATTTATTGAAACATCTTACTCTATAAAACTTCAGTCATTTATGTATACCAAAGCTGCGGACTCCAACCCCCGGGCTGTGGACTGGGCCACAGAGCTCTGCACCCTCCCACCTACTTCAGAAAAATTGTCTTCCACGAAACGTGGGAGGGGGGCGCACAGCAGGAGGTGAGCGGTGGGCAAGGCAGTGAAGCTTCATCTGTATTTACAGCCACTCCCCATCACTGGCATCACCACCTGAGCTCCTCCCTTTACTGCCAACCAGTCTGTGAAAAAATTGTCTTCCATTAAAACGGTCCCTGGTGCCAAAAAGGTTGGGGACCACTGCACCAGAGGAGCCAGTGCTTAAGGAACTTAAATGTAAATATGATGCATTGTTCTAACTCATACAACTTTCACCCTGAAGTATAGAAGATGTTTCTTAGAATTATTAAAGCGTGCGTGCATGATTGCTAGCTAGCATTTTTTAATAATATTTCAGTAACCACCCACCTATCCTTCTTTTTTAACACCAAGACTTTAATTTTTCTTTTTCCTGTCCTGCTCTAATCTTTTTATATAGCAAGGACCGTGCAGCACCTACTGCTGGAGCGGCTGGCCTGGCAGGTGGGCACCACCGGGAAGCATGGACCACCAAAGGTCCCTCTTATGAGGACTTATACACTCAGAATGTTGTCATTAACATGGACGACCAAGAAGATCTTCATCGAGCCTCACTGGAGGGGAAATCTGCCAAAGAGAGGCCCATTTGGTTGAGAGAGAGCACTGTCCAAGGGGCATATAGTTCTGAAGAGATGAAAGAAGGTAAGAGTAGAAGTAGTCAGTAAAATGGATTTGTCTTGGGTTCATTATATCTCGGCTTGGTGGGAAACAGGCCAGTTCTTAGTTTCATTGATAATCCACTGTACTTGTTTTAAAAAACAATTAATTGCATTATATCAGGAAGTAAGAAATTGAGCAATAAGTATAAAAAACAACCAGTGTACTTATACTATTCTTCATCTTAGTGGAAATAACAAATAGCCTTTTAAATCTCTGTTTTATTTTATTTATTTTTTTGAGACAGAGTCTCACTCTGTTACCCCGGCTAGAGTGCAGTGGCATCATCATAGCTCACTGCAGTCTAAAACTCCTGGGGTCAAACGACCCTCCCGCCTCAGCCTCCTAGAGTGCTAGGATTACAGGCGTGAGCCACTGTGCCCGGCCTGAATCTCTATTTTTAGATTTGAAAAATTGCCATCTCTTCATCTTAATTTCTTGGAAAAGTGCTATTGTGTTCAAGGTGGCCATATTCACCTCTTCTGCAATCTTTTATTGTCCTAATTTATGTGCGTTTTATTTTTCTGAACTGGGAGGCAAAACTATACTCCAAACTTTTTAAGATGTCTCCTCAAAACACCAAGGAGTTTGTGCTGCCTGAAATATATTCAAAGATGTACCACATGTGTAAAGTATTGAGCATTCTCACAGTCCAAGAAGATTTAAGTTTTAGTTTAAATCACTGGATTCAAGACTGGGTGATGATGATTTAGGACTATGTAGAAAATGGAAGGCTGAGACTGGACAAAGATGATTCAAACTGGAAAGCAGAAGAGAATGGGAGTCTGTACCTCTGGTTGCATATTATCAGCATGTGAATTTACATGCTGCTATTCCCAGGTTTATATATCATTGCTAACTTATCACCTGAGAGTATGGTTCTTTAATGCTAAAGAATCATAAGTAACTGAAAACCGCTTGTCTTTTGAGCTGTCTCCTAACTTCTTTTTCCTTCATAATTAGCATTCAGCATTTATACTAGAAATTGTAAAAGTACTGTGGAGTTGGGTAGTGATGGTAAAAGCAGGTAATACCTCTACTGTGATTCTCTTAGATATTTAAATTCCAATAAGAAAAACGTTTTCCTTGGCAACAGTACTTTACTTTCTTTCCTCCTCTGATTAGCTTGCTATGTTTAGTTATTTTGATTCAAGTTGTTTTAGACTATATGGTGGTTAGACTGTATAATTATTTAATAGATTCGTTTTCCCCAGTTTGGCTTTTTGCTTGTTTTTGAGGTAACCAAACTTTCTTTTCTTTGAACTTAGAAACAAAATTGAATAAAATAAAACTTATTAACCAACATACTATGTTTACAATTCCTAGAATGATAGAATGTGAATCATATGGGTCTTAAAGAAATCATCTAGTCTACTCAATTAAGTTTTGTGAATATTTCTTTTTATATAAAATAGGATAGTATGTTGTTATATCTAAATTTGTCTTTGTAAAAAGTTTCACGATAGTAGAATAAGCTTTATCCAGTGAAACTATGAAGTGAGTTTTATTTGTCCTATAACTTAATTTTCCTCAAACTTCATCATGTTGATATCTTTTAGCATTTTTATAGACTTCAATCATATCCTCATAAATGTACTGAAAGTTCTAATTCATTCTGAATCTGCTTTCCTTATAAATAGTCCTCTTTCCCACCACCACCTCCATCTACAGTTTTTGTTGATTTTAATTCTTTCTTTGGACCATTTCCAATTGTAATATACTTTGGGACCAGTGACCAGAACGATACGTGTCGTTCATGCGTGAATTCATCATTAATGCTTTGAGTTTTATATCCAGTATCTTCTGGTTTTTACCAGACATTTTGCTTGTTGCTTTGATTTTGAAGGATGTTAAGACCTAAAACTTTAGAAACATGTGCAGGTACTTGTTAGGACCTCTCCTCCCTTGAACCCAATAGGTTGAATCAGTGTCTTTCAGTATATTTTAGAATATTTTTCTGTAGGCAGATTTTCTTACACTTGCCGGTATAGAAATAGATCTACTACCTTTCTGCCCACTTATTCATCCTTCAGCTCTTCCTGTACTTTTTGCTGCAGCTTCGCCTTTAAGCGCTCAGAATTGCTTAACATAATCAGTGAACTTGATAGTTTCATAGTATACATCTTCTTTGTAATTTATAACTCTATTAAATAAGACTCTTCCTAGAACTAATATTTATACTTTACCATCCAGAGCTTTGCTCATTTATCCCTGTTTTTTGTCTTCTGTCTTCATCCATAACAAAACAATTCCTTTGTTCTGTCAGAAATCTGTTAGATGCAACTTAGTTTATGAAACTAATTTACTTTTCCTCTAATTTTATATTTACTTTAAACATTACTGAAAATACTATACTGGTAGTATTAACCTATTTGGAGCATTCTTTTATAAGCAATTGTTGCCTTAGACACTTGCATGCATTCCTTTCCTTTTTTGTTATTGTTGAAATATTGCATTGGCAGTAAGAGCTCTAGGGAGGAAGTTCAGCCTTTGGCAATGTTTTGAAGTAGTTAAGTTTGATTTTTAACTCTCATTTTGACATCCATGTTATCAAAAGCCTTTTTGACTTTAACTTGTCAATTCCTATTTCCCTTTCTCTTATCTGCCTAGTATCTCTTCTACCAGTTCTGTACTTTCCAAAATGTCCAGGATTACAGCTAATCCATTCTAATGTGCTAATCAGAAGATGCTGTCACTTCATCCATGATCAGAACTGACCATTTTTGAGCCTTCTCTTGGTGATGGTAATGATAGATAACACTAATCTAAGCACTTCACAGAAATTCATCTAATCCCCACAGTAATCCAGTGATGTAAATACTCTTATTTTTTTCCCTTTCTGTACTTGAGAAAATTAAAGCAGAGAGAAATGAAATAACTTGGCCAAAGTCACACAGCTAATAAGTGTTAGGGTTTAAAGTGAGGAGACAGGTTTCAAACAACATTTTTAATCCTTTTATATATTTTAAATGACAGTATGTTTGGTAGTATTATCAGAATGCAGAATACAGCTGTTTTTCTTAAGTGTTTTATCTGCAATATATCACAGAAGATGTGTACATAAAATGATAGGTGTGTGGTGAGGTGAGAGAAGTTTTACTCCTAAATTTAGATTCCTTTTTTATAAAGAGTTCAAAGTATGCGTGGTTTGCTTTAGGAAAATGAAACTGCCATTTATTCACTCAGTCATCAAATATTTAGTGACAGGTACTCTCTAGGTACATGGGATAATATCAGTAAATAAAAAAAGATAAATATAAGTTGTGGTAGAACCTACATCCTTGGAAAGGGGGTTACAAAAACAATAGACATAAGTTATTTATTATGTTAGAAATTAAGTGCTATGGGGAAAAAATAGAGCCATTGGAAATGTAGGGATGGGGTGAATTAAAAGAAGGCAACATTTGAGTAAAGACGTGAGAGGCAGAAGACATTAGCACATTAGAATAGATTAGCTGTAACCCTGGACATTTTCGAAAGTGTAGAACTCCTAAGAAGAGATACTGGCCCATGGCCAGAGCTGTATGGATGCCTAGAGGAAAAATATTCCAGTCAGAGGAAAAAGACCATATAAAGGCTGTGAAGTAGGAGTCCAAAGAGGCCACTGTGGCTGGAGCAGAATAAGCAAGAAGAAGGAAGAGGTAGGTGGTCAGAAAGGGTTCCAGATGATGTGTAGGACCTTGGAGGCCACTGTAAAGCCTTTGGGTTTTACTCTGAGCAAGATGAGGAGCCACGTTTTGATTTGCTGTTATGCCGGCTACTACACTTAGTCCTTTATACACATTATTTCATATGTTCTTATCCAAAGCCTTAGAATATAGATGCTTTTATAACCCCGTTTTACAGAAAAAGATATTGAAGTTTAGAGATAACTTGCCCATGGTGGTACAGCTTGCATATAGAAGAACCAGAATTCAAATCCATGCTATATTACTCTTAAAACCTATGTATTTAACCATTATGCTATTTAAGCTCCAGTTGTACGAAACATTTGAATATCTTGTGGACTGCAGCTCAAGAAATGGAATTAGTGAAGTCTGTGTTATTTTATTAGATTGTTATATATTTAAATATATTAAAACCCTATTTTATTAGTTATAAAGGAATACCATTTATATTTAAGGATCCTGACTTTCTTAGTTTTACTCCCCAGGTGGCATAGATATGGATGCATTTCAGGAGCGTGAGGAAGGCCGTGCAGGGCCTGATGATAATGAGGAGGTCATGCGAGCGCTGCTTATTCATGAGAAGAAGACTCCCTCTGCCGCAGCTGCTTCAGTGGGGGCGGCCGCTCCTGTGACCGCTGCCAATGGCAGTGACTCAGAGAGTGAGACCAGTGAGTCAGATGAAGATTCTCCACCCCGTCCAGCGGCTGTGGCTATGCATCATCGGGAGGAGGACGAGGAGGATGATGAGGAGTTTGAAGAAGTAGCAGATGACCCCACTGTCATGGTGGCTGGCCGTCCATTCTCCTACAGTGAAGTGAGCCAACGGCCAGAGCTGGTGGCCCAGATGACACCAGAAGAAAAGGAAGCATACATAGCAATGGGACAACGCATGTTTGAGGACCTCTTTGAGTGAGCTATCCCTACCTTTTCCTTCTTTCTCTAATGCTCATTTCAAAAAGAAATTCCCCACCTTTGAAACAAAGTGTTTAAGTAACTTTCTTTCCCTCTTGATGTAAAGCACCCATTAACTTTGTGCAAAGAATAATGGAGAGAAAGTTTAATTTTTATGTCAAACTTTCCAGCAAGGTAGGTTGGCTATAAGCATTCCCTTCCCTGCTATTACTACAGTATTAATATTTTACTGTATTTCCTTATCTAATTTTTCCTTTCCTTTTGAAAGTCTTTCTCTCTCTTCTGAAATCAGTGAGGGGAGTCCATAGTATAAATTCTTCCTATCTGCCTGCAGAAGTCTACTACAATAGGTTACAATAATTCACTGATCACATCCTTTTTTATCTGCTCTAACTAAGCATTCCGAACAATTCCTTATATTGCTTCCAACCAAAGCAACTTGCCAACAGCAAAAAAAAAAAACTTCAAAACTTCCTCAAAATTTGAGTATTTGCTCAAAATTGAGGTTGGGGGGTCAATTCATAAGGGGAAATTGGAGTGTGTGTGGAACAGGGATGGATATGCCAGAGTCTCATGTTAGAACCAGAATTTGTGTCTTTAAAACTGACCCAACTGGTAGATTCTGTTGTTTTGTTTAATCCTTTTTGGTTTGGGCTTCACGTGATAGAAAACAGAAAGCATGCTTGCTAAACCCTTATGACGAAATTAGAAAAAACATAGACATAGAATAAGAAGTCCATATAAAGGATTGAAGAGTGGAGAGCATTGGGAACAGTGCCTTAGAGCTGCCTGAGTTTGATCTGATTTGGAAATCCTTTACGTAGAGGTGAGACTGGTCCTGGTTTTTTTCTCCCTTCTTCTATAGACCTCTTGTCAATGCTATAAATTGTTTCATGAGGCCATTCCAGCAGAAATCAGCATAGAATAATTGGTTACACCCTTCCCTCCTTCCCTTACCGCCCCCCAACATCATTGAAGGCTTTCTTTGTCTCACTTTTTGTTCTTGTCAGATGTGGTATTTTGAGTATTGTAACCTCAAGGAACAGTTTATTTTGGATTCTAATATGTAGCATGGTATTATTTCCTAAGGCAGAACTCTAAAACTAAAGAACTTTCATACAAGGGTCTATTACAATTGTATTTTTTGTAATATTTTTTCTTGCATTGTAATTTTTAAGTATTTATCATTTTATACTACACGTATGAAGTTAAGATAGCATTTTAGAGTATCTGAGCCTTGTATGAAGTGATGTTTCATTTACCTGGATTGTATTAATGACTGACTGTTGACAATAAATCTATTTTATACTGACTGAAATTTGTTAATTTCTGGTTCTGTAATATCTCAGAACATAATTAAAATGAATACTCTTCCCATTAAAAAATTTAAAGACTTTTTTCTCTTATTAGTCATATTATTTCTATTAATAATAATAGATGCATTATATGTGATCTAAATTTTTTCTGGCAATAAGTTGCCTTAAGAATGACCTTGATGTATGTATCTTGTATATGCGGAGTATTTCAACTTTCACATTTGATGTTAGCTAAAAGGTCAAGAAATGATGTTATTCAACTTTTAAACGTTGATTTTTAAGCTTTCATAGTTCTAGAAAGAAGCTAATTTAAATGATCAGATGTTAATTTTAGAATGTACTTAATTTTTAAAACTGTATGTTCTTGTGTGTATATGTGGAATTTGTCTTATGGAAAAATGTCACAAGTGAATACAGAAATATAAATAAGGGTATTCATTGCAGAAGTTTTTGAAATATAATAGAAAGATAGATACACTCACCAAATATGCATTAATCAGTGATTAAATTATTTTTTGTGAAACCACACAGCTATTAAAAAGAATGTAGTGAGCCAGGCACCTGTAGTCCCAGATACTCAGGAGGTTGAGGTGGAAGGATCACTCTATTAACAGAGAGAAGATATCTACAGTGTGTTAAATATAGGACTCAGTTTTTCTAGGGTTTTTTGTAGGTGATCTTACCTGTGTCTGGTGGTAAACTGCTTTTATTCTATCTGCCCTTGAAGACTTTTAATGTAAAGGAAAAAAATAGCTAACATATAGGGCTTACTGTGTGCCAGACACTATTTTAACTGCTTTGCATATGTTGATTAATTTAATCTTTTGTGATAAACCTATGAGGTAGGTATACATACATAAATATATATAATTGGGGATGAAAGTTACAGTGATCTTAAGCTGTTATAATGAAAAAGATATTCCCATTTTGGAAAAAGAATCAAATGAACATTTAATGAATTTCATGTAGAAGTTTTGACCTGGTAGAATTAAAGAAATAGTGTGACAAAAGCAAGCTCTTTTTAGATTGATGGTAGGATTTTTAGTGGTCCTTTTTTTTTTTTTTCTTTTTTGGCTTTTAAATCCTGGGTTCATTATTGCCTTGGATAAATATCTCTGAATTTATACTCAAAATTAATGGGAAAATATAATTTAATATGTAAAATTTTGAACACTACCCCCCTATTTCAATAACAGAGCTAATAAGACTCAATGGAGTTTATATTACTTTGTCAGACAGGTTTGTCTCTTGAGTGACACAATCTGGTGAGGAAAACCAGTCAGTGACAGAAGGATCAAAAATGGGAGCCCAGCCAGTTATCAGTCTCTGAACTTTAATAAGGGCAGGCTCACACCCAAAGTAGCTAGATTCATGCAGACACAGTGTCTCTCGACCCCAGGACAAGTGAAGTTGTCACCACCCACAGCTTATAATAAGGGATGGCCAGGAACTTGGTTTCTCTGAATGTCGCTGACTATGTTAGTCTAACTCAAGTGTTAGCTGCCCAGGTATCCTAATTTTTCCACTGTCCTTTAGAATTTAAATAGAACTTTTTATCCTAACATGCCAGAATACTTCTTCCCATATCATTTCTTTTGGGAAATCACTGTTATTTTGAGGGGCTATGGGGAGGGAAGGGAAGGCAGGGAGCTTATGTCCTCTGGCTCTGCTTCCGTGGCTTCTCCATTTCCTCTGTACCACCTGTATTGACTCCCCCCAGAACCATCAACACAAGTCTGTGTAGCAGATCTTAGCTGAAGTTTTACAATAATGACCAAGGGGAGAGGGACACTGAAAGAGGGGTTATTGTCTCAGCGCTGTATAGTCAAGGACTAAGATTGCATTGTATATATCCTTGTTAAGGAATCTCTTAGCCATTCTCACAGATTTCATTCCAGGTAGAAGGCTGCCTTCAAATCTTACTAAAAATTCAGCTTCCTTTTTCCTTCTCTGCATCGCTCCTTTCTTTCCAAAGGCCTTAGAAAGTTCTAAATGTATTAGAGAAAATAACTTAGTTGTTTATTTTGTTCCTGTTTCTTTCAAATAATGCCTTAAAAGTTTCTATTGTATCCCAGTGGCCTATCAATATGTTTCACTAACCAAGGAGCAATCTCTCCACCTCTAGGAGTCAGCATAAGAGGGTAACTGGCTTTTTTTTTTTTTTTTTATTTCAACATATTATGGGGGTACAGATGTTTAGGTATGTATGTTGCCCTTGCCTCCCTCTCCCCCCTAAGTCCGAGTTTCAAATATGTCCATCC